TGCTTGTAAAAATGGCATGCATTTCATGTAAACTTACCCGTTTATACGAAATATATTATTATTATTATAGTGGATATCTGACGTTTTCATCACCGGTCGTCTCAATTGTGTGACAATCCGAATCTACCTTAAACCCTGATTTTCGGAATTTACTTTTTCGTTAGTTTCATCTGAACTGTAACTTATTTCTCCATTATTTTTGACGCGGTGTTACTAGTCCCCAAACGCATTCTTTTCAAATACATTTTACCAAGGAATTCCTTCAACTCACGATTTTTGGTTATTAACTTCCAGTATCTAACTGAAAAACGGTAAATTTCCACTATTCTCACCCAGCATTTCTTTTTCATCTCATTCTAACTTTCTGAAATTGTAATAATCGGTTGCAGCTCGCCGAGCCGAATCTTTTGATACATATTTTATCCTCATTATTTGTCCATTTCTATTCCACATCATTTTGTTTCTGGTACTTTTAGCCATTTCGGCCGAAAAAGTACTTTATACTCAACAAAGGATTTTCTGATCTAGTGACAGTGACAACACTGGTCCTTGCTTTTAATCTCCCCTGGTCTATCTAGTAAGAGCGAAGCCACCTTTCTCTTTCCCTCCACGGGACCTTTTACCACTTTTGCTTCTAATACCACCTATAATACTTCAAATTTATTCAGTCTTGTTCTTCTCTGTCCAAATATCTTTGTCCTGAACCATCCAAAACAACTTCTTTCATCATTCTTAACCGTGTAGACCGAAAAGCCTCATACTCCTATCGCCTGTGTAAAAGTTGTGAGCCCCCTCTTCGCATAGTATCCCCCAACAGGAGAGTTCTGCTGCCTCTTTCCAAAGCTAAACTTCTACATACATCTCAGATTCCAAATTGTCAAAATTATTTCTTTATTTTTACAAAAGATCCGGAGCTTTTTGCTTTCTCCCAAACTTTTTAACGGGGGGTAGCTTTCGACCACATTTTAGCACCCTTTCAAAATATTTCGCTATTCCCGCTGTTTGTCTCATTGTACCTTCTTCCCTTTCACCCCTCTGAGCCCCTGATCTAATTTTCCTAAATCTGCACTGTCTATTCTCTTTACATCTTCAAATTTCACCATATCCCGCTATAGCTTCTATTCCTAATAGGCCCTATTTTTCTCAACTTTCGTTAATTTTGCTCTGGAAATTTACGCAGTTTTCCAAGTTTACGTTGAAATATCTCCTCGTTGTCCTCAACATATTCTGATCACTCTGCGGTTTTTTGTAGTACTCTCAGCGTTCCGTCATTCCCAGCAAATCGCTTTGTCCTGGATTTTGTTATGAAGAGCCGCAGCATTTGGAGCCAGGATGATGAGATCATCAGCATTTGCTATGTAGTGCAGAGGATGGCCATCGACGTAGATGGGGTCATGGGCTTCAAGAACATTGAGTATTTCATCCACAGTCATGATGAAGAGAAGCGGTGACAGAGGGTCACCCTGTTTGACTTCTCATGTTGGATGACAATTCACTTCGTGGAAGAGACTGTAGGAGTTGGAGTAGTAGTTTGTAAGATATTCTCTAAGCATTGGGGGCGCACCAAAACTCTCAGCCACCCTTAGAATTGTTTGATGTAAGACGCTGTCGAAAGCTTTCGAGATGTCGAGGATAGCTAATGCGCAACTTGTGTAGTTGGAGTGCGCTTCTCTCAAGATGGCGTGAAGTAGATTGGTTGCTTCGAAGCAGCCATCACGTTGCAGGAAGGCAAACTGTAGTTTTTCCATTGGGAATGATCTGGACCATCGCTTGGCGATAATCTCGTGCAGACAGCGCGTAACAGCAGAAGTGATGGAGATAGGCCGGAAGTCGGTAGGGTTATCGGGATGTGATGTCTTCGGAATGAAGGTGACCCTGGAAGCTGACAAAGGTGAAGGTAAAAAAGACGTCAGCAAAAGAGTGTTAAGATACCCAGCCAGACTAGTGGGGTTGATTTTCTGGAGGTCCCTGGCGGTTGTGCGGTCGACACCTGCGGCGGATTTGACCATTTCTTTTAGTGCCCATTTGATCTCATCAGTTGAAACTGGGGCGATCAAGTCGTTGTTAGTTGGAAGGTATTCCTGGACCGGTCTAGTGTCTGGTAGGGCTGGGCGTGTGAAGGTGTCTATCCAAAATTCATTGAAGCCTCCTATAGTGGAAGGCTGACATGTAAACGGGTCTCTCCACCTGCCACCAAGTACTGTGTTTGCAGCGTCTTTCGGCGAACGGTGGAAGAGCGTTTGCATGTGGGCCTATAGAATGCGTCGCCTCTTCTTGTCGTTTAAGTTCGGTGGGAGACCGGAGACGTATCGCTGCTTGGATGGTTTCCATTTTGTAGGGAACAGTTGGTGGGCCTGCTTATCCAAAGGTTGACGTGTCTCCTCAAGAGTAATATCATTCGCATATAGTCGCAGAATAATTTGTCGAGTGGATTCAGTGTCCAGCCGCTGAGATGAATTTTCCAGTTGTGTGCTGATGGCAGCCAGGAGGTTAGCGTGTATATTGTCCATCTGGAGGCTTCTATGAAGTGTCAGATTCACCAGGGGCGATCTCTTGAAAAAGGCGGGTCAGAAGGATATCGTAGTGCTAGTTGGTGACTTAAATGTGCAGGTTGGGCGTCTAAGCTCATAGGAGAATCGTGTGGGTGGTCAGTGCAGTTGACATGGTCGCGGGTCAGATAACGGGGACCGCCTACTATAACTTTGCGCAGATCACAACCCATTTCTAGCCAGCACCAACTTCCGGCACAGCCGTCGCCGTGGCGCTGCCGGGCGTACTTCTTCCGCGAATCAAACTTGGACTCAGATTGATCATATTGCCGTCAGTTTCCGGTGGCGAGGATGCATGCAAGACTGTCGCCCCTTCTGGAGCACATGCCTGGACTCCGATCATGCGTTAGTGTGTGCCAAGTTCGTCTTGCGATTTGGTGGGGTTCATAAAAGGCGTCGTCTAAACGTTGATGTGAGCTAACTAGTAACACCTGCTACTTGTTTGAAATATCAGAATGAGTTACAATCAATGCTTGCCAGCAACCCTCCAAGTAGTATAGATGAACATTGACTTTATCTGCAAGACGCCATACAAATGGCGAGTGTATCCGCTTGCGGCTTGAAAGAATGCTTCGCTAAAACTCACTGGGTTTCTGTGAATTCCTTAAAACTCCTGGGTGAACGCCGGTCCATTCCGGCTGGCAGCGAGTCCAGCAATAAGCGAAAGGTGCTTACGCGCAAGATTAGACAGAGTTTACGTAAGGACCACGAAGCCTGGTGGTCAGAACGTTCGTGTGTGATGGAGTCAGTTGTTGCATCTGCAACAGTCGGAAGCTGTTCCAGCTCATCCGAGCCACCGGCAGCAAGAAACAAGAGGTGTCAGCGAGGCGGTCTGAGGCAGATGGCACGCCCATTACCAGCATGAAAACACGCCTGAAACGTTGGGCAGAGCACTTCGAGAAACAGTTTAGCTGGCCACCAGCTTCAATGTCTGCTGTCATTAGCCCCAGTGCTCCTTGGTCGGTTAATACCGACCCACCCACCGAAGCGGAGGTCCGTAAGCAACTCCAAGTGTTAAAACGCCATAAGGCGCCCGGCCCAGACAATTTACCCCCGGCTCTTTCTAAAAATGGTGGCGAGACTCTCACAATGGCCTTAACTGGGTTGTTCAGGAAGGTATGGGAGACAGAGAGTGTACCATCAATGTGGAACGAAGCCATTATCGTCCCCATCTTTAAAAAGGGTTGACGTAATTCGTGTGACAATCATAGGGGTATCAGTCTGCTACTAGTCGTGTCTAAAATGTTGGCTGCTGTCTTGCTCCACAGGCTGTGCAAAACACATGAAGAATTGATTCGCGAAAAGCAGGCTGGGTTTCGTTCAGGTCATGGATGCATTGATCATGTGTTCACCCTTCGTCAGTTGTTGCAACATAGCCACACGTACTGCAGGCCAACGATCGTTGTGTTTCTTGATATTGGGGCTGCCTTCGATTCGTTGAACAGAACTGTGCTCTGGAACTGTCTTGTTAGAGAGAGGTGTACCTGAGAACTTTGTTAACATCTTGAAAGCCCTATGCAGAAACACCTCAAGTAGAGTTATGGCATGCAAGCAACTATCATCACTGTTCCCAACCAACAGTGGGATTAGACAGGGTTGCCCGATCTCTCCATTTCTCTTTAACTTTGCCATCGATGACATTCTGGAGTCAGCTCTGAAAGATGTTAGTGGTGGTGGTGGTGGTGGTGGTGTAGATCTGCTTTCTGAAGAAAGACTTCTCCACCTCGAGTATGCAGACGATATCGTCTTACTGTGCGATAGCACGCAGGCTACCCAATCGCACTTAAACAGTTGACGATCAGTGTCTGTATATATGGTATGTGCTTTGCACAGTCTGAGTGCAGAGCTCTGTTACTAGATTGGCAGGAGCCTGTACTTGCACTCACTCTTGCGGGTGAACCACTTGAAGTTGTTGATAAGTGAGGGGTGATGGATGAGATTTCCAACCGTATAATGAAGGCTAGCGTGGCATACATCAACTTGAGCCATCTCTGGTGCGACGTTAGGTTAGCTATCAAAGGCCGGGTATACAATGCTTCGGTGCGGGCTGTCTTGCTCTACGCCAGTGAAACCTGGCCTGTCCGAGCTGAGGATGTGCGGCGACTCTGCGTGTTCGATCATCGCTTTCTCCGCAGTATTGCTTGCGTTCGATGACATCATCGCGTGAGTAATTCTGAGGTTCGGCGGCGTGTGTTTGAACACAGTGGAGATCACCATTCATTGAGTGTCGTCATCTGGAAACACCGGCTTCGGTGGCTTGGGCATGTACTGTGAGTGTCATCCCAGAGGCTTCCGTACAGATCTCTGTTCGCTAGCCCTGGGGCGGGATGGAAAAGGCGGAGGGGTGGTCAGTCCATGACGCGGCGTCGTGGGATGAAGGATATTTGTGCTAGATTAGCATCGGTTGGTGCGTCTAGACTCTTTGGTTAGGGTCCGAGAGACAGCTCGAAACGTTATCGGATATGGCCAAGAATCGTAATCAATGGCGAACGTGTTGCAATTTCCTTCTTTCTTCCCTTCCTGATGATAGTTGACGAAAACTGCTTGAACTTGTTAAACATGACTGTTTTCCTTCCAGATGAGGTTCTTTATCCGTTCTTTACTTAAATTTTCACTTTTAATCTATGTTGTTTTATTACTATTGTGTGGTGCATCTTTCTTGGTGCCATATTGTACCAAGTTTTTCTGCGTTCAAACAATAATAATAAGTTTGCATTTCTAAGATTTTATTACTGATTCTGCCGAAGCTTACTTATTCGTAACAGAATGAAGTCCACCGAGTTTATTGCTGATCCAACGTTTCTAGTTGTCCTTTGACAATGGACGTTCAACGGGTTTTGAAACCGCTTTCTTAGCCTACCAGGGTTATGCCACCGAAAAAGTATTACCGGTTTTGATACGGCGTGTGTGGCATAAACATGCGTGTTGAGTAAAGTAAATTGTTTTCATTATGGAATGGAAAAATATTTGTGAATTTTGACAAAGCGACACATAATGTACTTTTCTAACGTGGATGTTATTACTTTGAAAAATAAAACGTTTCCAAACCTCTGGTTCCATCACACTTCATATTTAAAACTGAGGTAGATTACACCTCATGAACGCACGCCGTTCACTAGCAATTGAGTTATTTTTAATCTTACATTCTTACGTGTTTTTTTATCTTTGTAGTCATCCACCTCGCCTTGTATTTGATGTTCCTTCGAACGATTCGAACTGGCTGAATGACGATTTTATGTTTACTACAAAGCCATCAGTTGATTTCAGAGCAGCAAATGATTCAACTAGAATAGACTTGAACAAAGGTGATTCACGTTTAACACCAGCAACATTTGTTAGCTATGCACCGTCAGCAGGATATGGTGAACCACTACCCTGGGATATCGTTGACTGGCAATTGAATAATGATGGATTTGAAAAGTTATGGAGTAGTCAAAACTCAAATGTAATTCCAAGTATATCTGCGAGTATCAAAGCAACTATCGACCCTACAGATATACTTGTTGATGCTGTTCATAATTTCCATCCTAATTATCGTCATTATACTCAGGTAATCTTTCATCGGATTATGCTACCATCCTGTGCTTGCATATGCCGAAACAGAGAATCAATAATGAAATGTGATAAACACTCGGACTTCTAATTCCTAATGATTAGATTGTTTTAGAAACATTGTCAAAAGTTGTCTTGCGACCCAGCTACTCAGTGCAAGATTTTTAATCTTCTAAACTAAATTGAGATGAATCACAATAATCGCTGGTTTCTTAGAGTGACTTCGAAACCACCTGTTTCGACACTGCTTACTTTTGTTTGGGTTACCGGATTGTATTCTCATGTCTTACAAAAACATTTTGTGTGCCATTTAATTATTTCTAATAATTTAGAATTGATTTAGTCAAAAAGTTAAGGAAGTACACAGTGGTGATTGTACTGTTGGACAAGCTACCATCTACTCATGTCTTCAAATTCCATTAAGAAATACTCTGGATCTCTAGGCCCAATACATTAATTGTGTTTGCAAGATATACAACGTGGATGAGTTGTCGTATATTATTTATTAATTTTTTTCGAAGGGATTAATGTAACTGTTGATCTTGTAGCTTATTGTTGTAATAGCATGATGTTTCAACTGAAGGAAACAGTAACGTCAAGTGCGTTAATCACTGGATTAACCATAATAGATAAACTATCTCTGCTTTTACCAGGCTAGAAAGCTCACTGCGCCACTGACTAGCACAAATAAGTGGAATATGTTATTCCCTACTTATATGTAGTCGCTGAACATTATGTTTTGCTTCTTTTTCTACAGACACAGATGGATTAAGACAGTTGAAGATGCACGACAGTTCTCCAGATAAGGTACAAATCATTTGACTTCTGCAGAATACATTCTACCAAGAGGATAATTTAATATGTACATCAATTAGTCACTCAAGTATTGAATGCTTTTTTCAATGATATATTGACCATTCAAATACGCTGGAGTCTTTCTATGCCTTATTCCTAAAAGCGTTTATTTTGTTTTCCTTCTTTAAATGAGTGGAAGCATTCTCAGACATGATATTCGATTCCAATAATCAATTGCAAACTTCTCGTTCCTTGGTTTGCTTCCATTGACCTTGAAATTTTATCTTGTCTTGATTGAATATGTAAATATATTTTCAGTGGATGGATATTAATACCTGCTGTTGTGGTTTGCTGGTGTTTCAGTTATTTAAGTGATATTTTTGGCACAATGCTATACAGCATAGTGGTGTTTTCGGTTAAGTTCTGTCTCCGGCAGAATAGGACCATAATGAACAGAAATCTACGGTTTAAGCAATAATTAAGTAGAGAAACACGAGGAACTGGGACGTCATAAAAAGTGACTGCATCACCACTGTTGAGAACGGTTTTGAGCCACATCACTGATGGTCTCCAGCTATTGATCCTTGGAGTCTCGAGAGCCCCACAAGGTAGTATGAACCTTCCCGCGTACCGCCAGCAAACAGTCAAATACTTCATGGATTGATGCCATGTTTTGATTTGACCACTTATAAATCTTTCCCAACCTAATCCCATGCCATCTTACATTGCACAAGAAGGAATGCCACCTCTAGGTAGGAAAGTACGGCAATAGTTAGACGCTAGTAAGTATCTGCATATTCCAGAGTCTGTTGGAGCGTGATGAAATGAGGAATTCCCGACCGATGCCTGCTACCTTGACATGATGGCCGAGCTTGCAGACAGAAGACATCTGCGCCGGGTTACACGAGACAGTTGTTTGAGCTCATCAAAGAAACTGGTTGTGAGAGACAAATGATGAGCGAGACTAACTGTGAGGAGAACGTCGTCTTAACTATCTCTCAAGATAGAAGACTGGCCTACCGTCAAGCTCAGTTCGATCAACATCCGAAACCTAACTGAGTGGTATTTAGACGTCGGGCCTCCAAATGAAAGTGAGCTTGGAAAAGCTGTTTCTAATCTGAAAATATGCAAGGCAGCTGAACCTGATGCGACGACTTTTCATAGATTTTTAACAATGGTGGTGACGAAATTTTATCTGGGTTAACTAAGATAATCGGTAATGTTTGGTACAGGTGAAAATCACTGATTATCCCGGTTATAAGAAGAGACAAGCCTTCCTGTGATAATCATATAAGGTTGACTTGACTACCATACAGTCTGAACCTCCAGGTTAGAAACGAACCCTGAAAAGTCAGGTGGAATTTAGTCCGGGAATAGTGTCACTCACCATATTTGACTGTCTGTCTGAACAATAACAGAGCTTTTCAGGTTGCAATACACAGAGGTAGACAAACGATAGAAAAGCAGTTATTCAAAGAAATAGATAAAAAATGAATGCATCCGCGCCACTGACAACGATTACAAGCTATGTCACAAATATCCTCAAGCCATTCATTCTTAACATCTTCAGGATGCTGACCCGACAAGCAGCCTATGGCTCACTACGCGACTCTTACATCTGCCAGGGGCGAATACCATTCCAAAGACTCGAAGATTTCTGCTCAAGTTGTTGGGAGGACTGCATTTTGTCAGAGTCTTCACCTAGGAGGAAAATGTCATCCACATACTCTATGTCGATGAAACTGTTCCTTGTTACATTACTTTGACCGTTAACTAGTTAAGCTTTATGTCTGAAATATGTTAAGTGGCAAAGAGATCACTGAGATAGTAAAACGCGCCAACTGATGCACTGTATTCTAAGTCGAGGCTAGTATTACATTCCCCAACTTGCGTTATCTCTGTTGTTGGTATGACATCTGACTATGCATTGAAGGAGGTCTGCTGGCTGGATGGCTGGATTCAACAGGGAACTTGGCACCGAAGTGCAGCAGTTCGAGTTGCCACGTTCCAAAGAGCACACAAAAGTAGACAAGAAGATGAGTGAAGGGAATCAATAGAGTTTTGACAAGTATAAGAGTGAAACAGAATGAGTAATGGTAGAAAGGAATATGCAATATTACAGAGACTGAATACATCTGCGCCATTGACAACGATTTTGAGACATGTCACCTAGTGTCTCCAGCTACTGATTCTTAGAGTCCCGAGGGCCCCAACACGGAAGTCTGCATCTCCCTACCTGGCTCAGTTTGACTGTCAAGGATTTCATGGATTGATGCCATGTTTTTGTTTGGCCACCACTTACTCTTTTCCAACCTGCACCTATATCAGCTAGTAATGCCCGTCGGGGGAGGCGATGGGTAGGCGTGAGCAGCACGTGACCTAGCCATCTCAGTCTATGTAACTTTATAGCCTCGTCGATTGATTTTCCCTCTTTGCCCAACACTACGCCTAACGTTAACATTACTTACTTTATTATGCCACCTAATGTGACAAAGAGATCGTAGACATCTATGATCGAAAACAGTCAACCTTTTCATGTCTTCAACTCGTATTGGTCATGTTTCAGAGCCATAGAGAAAGACGGAGCGAAATACTGAGCAGTATACACGTCCCTTGGTTGATAGCCGGATGTCACGCCTACGCCAGAGATGGCGTAAGTTAGCGAAAGCAACTCGAGCTTTTTGGATCCGTGCTGAGATTTCGTCACCAATCAATCCGTTGGTGCTGATACAACTTCCCAAATAGGTGAAGTGGTCAACATGTTCTATCACTTCATTCTCTATCACTAAGCTGGGAGTTGACGTAGTCCAGTCTTACATTTTACAGGGGCGAATCGCATGCCAAACATACGAAGATTGCTGCTCAATGTGTTCAGAAGACTCTGCATTTTGTCAGCATCCTCCCCTAACAGGACTATGTCATCTGCATATTCTAAGTCCATAAGACTATTCCCTGGTAACAAGTCGATTCCTAAGTCGTTAAGTTCAGTTAAGGATACTTCCATTAGCATATCTATGATGAAGTTAATCAGAAAAGGGGAAAGTGGACATCTTTGACTGACACCACTGGTTGTTATCAATTCAGATGACAATTCCCCACAAGCCCTTACACAGGTACGTGAGTTTGAGTAGAGTGCCTTGATTAGTGCAATGTACTTCCTTGGCACTCCCTTCACAGTCAAACATTGCCATAGTACCTTTCGATCCACGGAGTCGAAGGCCGCCTTCAAGTCAAGAAGTATGGCAATTGTTGGCTGCCTAAAAGTGTGTCTATGTTCTGGGATCTGTCGGAGAGTGAAGATATGATCTATGCACCCTCTACCTGGCCTAAAGCCTGCTTGATTTTCCCTCGTTTGTTCCTCCCGAGTTCGACTTAGCCTGTGCATGATTACTGAGCCTAGGATTTTAGAGACTATGTTCGTCAGGCTGATTCCTCTAAGATTATCGTATGAGGACTTGTCTCCCTTCTTGAATATTGGTATAATAAGTGACTTACCCCAATCTGATGGAACCGTCTCTGATTCCCAGACGTTACCTAGTATCTTAGTTAAACTATATACTAGTGTGTCACCCCCATATTTATACATCTCCGGAATAATTCCGTCGGGTCCTGCCGCTTTGCCTCGTTTCAGATTACAGATAGCTTTTGTGACCTCACTTACAGACGGCGGGCCAGTGTCTATATCCCATTCGGGTGTGTGCTGGATGGTGGGGAGGCTCAGTGTGGCTGCAGGCAAGTTAAATTGTTCCTCAAAGTGTTCTTTCCAGCGTTCAAAGCGTCTATCCTGAGAGCTAATAAAGGAGCCATTTTTCTCAGAAATAGTCTCACATTTTCCTCTAAACGTCTCTACATGGTTGTTGAAATTCGCTAGCATAATAATTCAGTAGAAGCATTAGTTCCCGGCATATCAAGTCGTTGGTTCACTGTAACATGCAAGCCTGACCAGCACTTTAATGTCGGGAAGTGTCAGTAGCATAGATATGTATGTTATTCTGTTGGTGAACGAGACATGTATGTGTCTAGCGGCATTGCACATTTCTAATATTGAAAAATTATCGTATACTTTTCAAGTCGTGAGAAATAAGTCAGAACACGTGTGTACAGCTTTGACTTCCATTTTCGTGATGTGAGGGATGATTTGGATAAGCTGTTAGGTGTCAATCGATATCGTGTTTTCGATTTTTCAGTTTGGCTCCATTATGGATAAGATTTTATTTTGATAAATCACACATTGTTACACAACAATATTAACTGATGACGTTTCCAGCACAAATTATTGCTCATAATCATATCAAGTTACTCACACAACTCTTATCCATAATGGAGTTACACTCTACCACAGTGCTCAAGTTTTATACTTCGATTCTCAGTTTGACGTCTATAAATTCCAGTAATGCGTACATTTTCTCGCTTCCTGGCTCTGTGAACTTCTTTTTGACAGTGATTTGTAATTTTCGTTTTATGTCTGACAACTGTATTTTCCAGAAAGTTCACCTCCCTGTATATTATGAGTT